TTATTTCTCATCATTTTCGCTCAAAATGATATTGAACCATTTTCTTACATAAACCGTTTCCCGTCCTTTCTTCATTAATAAACAGTGTGTTGGTTGTTAACAATAAAAATACTCGGTTATGATTGGACAGATTAGCGTGAGTAGTATTACTATTACAATTAATACTTTCGAAATAAGTGAACGTATTTAAAAAGAAAAAAGTTTTTTGTACATTTGCTTATAAAATATACGATATCCTCCACAGTTAGAATGAGTAAATTTACAACTAGCCTACGAGGTTTAAATAAAAGTCCACGATGATTGTTTCCTTATAACGTTCAGAAACAAAGAAGCGTACTATTCGAATCGAATAGTACACCGAATAGATATCTGCTGCTGTTTCATGCGAATCTTCTATAAATTCAACCATACCTATGGAAAAACAAGAAAGAAAGGACAGATTTAAAACAAACCGCAAAATTTTAAAATAAAATAAATATTTACCTCTTTTAACACCTATATTGGAAAAGAACTGAACTGCAAATGGATATGTTTTACAATTTCCTTTATTTGATGCATCGAATGATAATGAATAAAAACGTGATTCTGATAATTCATCGATCAATGTACTGGTAAAAAATGGTCCAAGAACGTTACATGCAATTGCTCTTGATTTTGTGTTTTCACATGTAATTGATTTAGCAACTGACGATGATGATTGAAATATAGTTTTAGCAACGTTAATTGTACATTCTTGTGAAACATAACTATATGCACCTTCAGCTGCGGAAATATTATCTAATTCAGTTGATGGAACCGCCGACGATGTTATTAATGGGTTCTTACCAAATGTTTTCATTGATAACTGATCGGCTTGTCCAAATGTTACGGAATTACTTTTTTTCAACTTTTACGTGCCATAACTTTTCTGAGAATGATCCAAATGCAATGACGCTTTTACCAGAGATAGACAGTACCCAGTTTTTTCATGTTCGAAAATTTCGTTGAATTTGGATCATCCCACAGGGAGTTATTAAAAATAGACCGGCCGTTACGGAATTATCGACAATGGACTTTTTTTCAGTGATGTCTAAGTTTCACATTTTTCTGCTCAATGAAAGCTTTTTTTGAGATGTGTTCTGAAGCACAGTTGAGACCAGCTTTCAGAATATCCACTTGGTTTTCGATTAGAATCGCTAGGTGATATAAAAATTTGAAAAAACAGTCCGTTACGGAATTACAGCTTTTTTTGGTTCTTTCAAATCAGAAGGTTAAACTCCATTACAAAAGTCGTCATAGAAAAATATTTCCAATAGCAGTAGACAGTATCTGATCTTTCCGATGCACCGTAGAAAAACGTTCTGAAATCGTTTTGACTTGGAGAAAAACTCGTTTCAAAACTTGGTCTTTCGAAAAACCAACTTTCTTGGAAAACACCTAAACTCAAAAATAAATACACCATCTTATAGAGAATTAAATTCTCTATAAAATGCCATATCTCTTAATCTTTTTCGCGAAAATATCTAGGTCAGGAAATTAAAAATAAAATTTGGATTTCATTTTTTAAGGTCAAAATTTAATTTTTTGAAAATTTTAAGTTGATATTCGAAATCAGCTTCAAAAACTCAACATCAGTTTTTCCGCCATTTTTTACCGAAAATTGTTCCAAGGATGCTTTACATTCTGATTTTGTCGAATCTGATTTCACTTCTTTTAACCACGATGAATATTTTTTTAATGATACCCATCCTTGATGAAAAACATCTTTTATCTTTCGATGAGTGATTGGATTTTGTTTCTATGTGTTTCCCTCTTCAATGGAATTCTGTTCATTATCACTATTAGCTGTCTCATTTAATTCTAAATTCACGTCATTCTCTACGTAGTCCGACGATTCAGTCATCAATTTTATTATAGCTTAAATATACAGTTCATTATATACAAAACTATTCTTCTTGAAGATCGTATCACACATTTGTTCAACGATTCTAAGGAAAATCGAATTTTGTCTAAAACTGCTTCTTTATCGACGCATTTATCTCTAAGTGTTTATATGGACTCTGAATCGAGGATGTGTCATTCATTTAGCTATACTTACGGCGCTTATTTAGTAGAATCGCTTCTTCAATCTGATTGTTTCCAAGACCGCTTGCATACTATAATAAATTTGTCCTAGTATGTGTGTCTTATCTCTCTTTTATTTTTTCATCTTTTAATTAAATTTGTCGTTTAATTAAACAATTAAATCGTTTAATTAAAGTTGTGCTTATTTTGAATTCTTCCATGAAAGTGGATTTTGAATATGGACATGACATCGAAAATTTATTCATTGGTATGGCTCTCTAACAAATTGTATGCTTGTATACTACTGTAGTTTTCGTTTCAAGATTCATGATAAGAAATATCAAGCAGCTCTGAACAATTAGAACCTGTTTTAAATCGTTAATTGCAATTATTGCATCGTAGTCAATATTTATTTTAAGCTGGATACACCTCTAACTGTCTGATACAACTTAAACGTTGGGTCGTGTCGTACTACAAAGTGTTAGTCCACTTGTAGTGCTAAAGTACTATCCTAAAAGTTACCCAAAAAAAGGCAAGGCTGAGATTGTTTGCAAGTCTTCGCAACGATATATTGATATTACTACTCTCTTCTTTACTGCCATCAGTCGGCGGTAACTGAGAGGAAGCTTCAATTGTATCTGATCGGGTCCTGGTGTCGAAATGTATCGCTATTACACCGTTGTTCGCTCAACTTTTAGCAAAAATTGGCTGCTCCGAATCACAGAATATATGGATGCTCTATGTCACTGTACTCTAAGATGTGTGTCTGTAACATCTAAATTATTTTGAATGTTCATTATTAGTTCTTTGTATTAATGAGAGAACTAAATTCTCTACAAAAGCCTTCTGTTCTTCATTTATCCCTCTCACCTCTGGGTCACTCTTCCTCTTTCGATCGCACACACGTACAATTCGAATATATACGAAATGAGCTGTCTAAAACTGATTTTAAACTTCAAGGCAAAAATCATTTCTTTCTTTCTTTCTTTCTTTCTTTTTTATTTTGGCAACATACCATAGTACATGAAAAAAAGTTCAGACATAAGAATGACTTGTAACAGAAAAAAAGCGTCTGACACTGAGATCGGGCAAACCTAGTTTATTGACTAGGGATAGACTATTAGTTTCGTGTTATTCTTTTATGTATTCTTATTATTTCCGTAAAAAAGTGTAGCAAAAGCGAGAATCCAGTTCATTTTGTACTTTTGAATATGCTTTTTCTCGTGATCTGTAAGAAAGGCTTTTAGAACAGATGGTGTGGTCGAGAACCAAGTATCAAAAATACGTCAAAAATTGACAACCCTTTGAGCTTTCAAGCTCTGGTACCGTATGTAATTAATTTCATAGTAGATGATAAAACAAACAACTACAAGCTCACGGTGAGCAGGCTAAGCCTAACAAAATATATGCATTGGACTACTCTATCATGCACAAAAACCGAATAAAATCAGTTCAAAGTCATATTTCAGTTAATCAGTTAATGGCATTTTACTTGAAAAAATGCGTGATGACGAAACACTAATCCTCGTTTTCACCAAGTTTGAAGAACATGTTACATATGCGGGTGATTTCTGGTGCGATTACCCAGGATAAACGAATAGTTTTATAGGCAACACATCTAACCATTCTGAGAAATGAAAAATGAGTGGGAAAAAGTTTTACAGGAGTACAACAATTCTATGAAGAAAACATTTAGAGTGAATCTAAATTTATATTATTTGCTTTTATTTTTCGAGTTTCAATATCCATCGTATCAAAAAGTCTAATAAATATTCTTTCGAATTCGTTAGAGTTCTTTTCTGTCTGAAAAGTTTTATCTACATAGTTGATATCACAATATCAAGATTGAACTATAAACGATCAACAAAGTTTTATTATTTAATCTCTAATCAGACTACAAAATATATTCTTTTAAAAAAGCGTAAAGTTGTTTTGATTGAATCGATTTATTTCTTGCCACTTCCTACTTTTTTTCCCAGATAATAGGTATCCCACGAATCGCGACCATATCCACCACCGATGACCTTGAAACTACTTGCGCTGGCTCCCTTGACTTTTTCATCCATGTAATATACGTCGAAGCTGTCTTTAGCGTAAAAATCGCCCAAAACTTGAAACGAACTTGCACTTGCTCCCGGTATTTTCTTGCCATTATAAAATACGTCAAAACTGTCACGAGCATAGTTCTGTCCCAATGTTTTAAACGAACTTGCATAAGCACCCTTGACTTTTTCACAGAATGTCCAACAATTATGCTGTTATTTATATCTCAAGTATAACATGACGTTTCTATTTTGTATTGACGACGTCATATTTGAGCTTTGCCACTCCGACATGGTAGACATCGATCGAATCCATGGCATAGTAGTCTGCCAACACTTTGAACGAAGAAGCAATGGCACCCTTCACTTTTTGTCCTTGAAATGCCACATCAGTGATGTCTCTGGCATATCCGAAACCGAGATCTTTGAACGATGAAGCCAAGAGAAACGACACTTTCTGTCCACGCCAATACACATTATAGGCATCTTTGTAGTAGCCGCTATTTCCACCAGGAGTATATGTGGATGAACTACCGAATGAGAATTGACGGCGATGAGGTCGACATTCGACGACAGCAACGGCGAAAATAAGGTAAAAAAAAATCCCGATTCGACTGTACATGATGACGATGAAATGGAATAAAGTGCATAAAAGTGTATGCCTTCATATTTATGTTTATCTCTAATATTTCATCGAGTTTCGTGAATAATCGTTATTATTTCTAATATTTGAGAAGCAAACAATCACCATATCACAAATTCAAAGTTTCTTTCCTTTGATTCATGTTGTGTTGCTCGTTATCTGTTTGACAAAAATATTAATCAACAATCGTACATTGTGAATTGTAAGTATAAAACAATATTTAACGTAGATAATGGCATGAATAAGTCTATTCTACGTAACGTGTTCCATTGCCTTTATAAACATATCTTAAGTCACATTTTATCGAGATCTTGTCATGCTACAGACAACACATACTTTCTCCTTGAATATTTTCTATGCGTTTTGGCCAATAAAATTTGATACTTTGATTTCATTCTTTTGTCGAGAATCCATGTATATCAAGATAATCGAATTACATATAGACCTGGCGTGTTTTGTGTATCAAGCGTATATATTTGTTATTAAATTAAAAAAGAGAAAACAAGTATGCATGTTGTCTAAACAGTCTTGAATTTTTCTTCAATTTTCGCGTCGAAGAATTACTGAGATTTTCATCAAAAAATGAAAATCAACGAAAGATTTTGAAATATATATCACTCGACTCGATTTTTGACGCCGATCCCGAATATGATATTTTCACTGCGTGAAAGTTGAGTTCTGATGGAGAAAATTGCGAATTAATGTCAGAATTTCGATTTTTCCCAGTAGAGTCGACTTTTCTCAGCAAGGAAAAGGAATTTTTAAAAAACGTCATATGGGTTTAAAGCTGGGAGTCCGGCCGATCGATTGAGCTATGACCCATGTCGCCAGCTCCTAATACAAAAAACTTATCAGCTTTGCAAAATGATTCACATTCATTCTCTTCCAATACTTTACAACGTCCATATAGACACACTTTTAACTCAAGAATAGATTCAATGATATTTTTAATCCAGTTTTGCGCACAGAATTTGGAAAAAATAGTTTGAATCTTTGAACTTGAACACGAGCGAAAAAATTCAACTTTTCGGAACAGAGCAGTTTTTTTGAAAAAAGAGAACCTGTCACCATTTTCAATTTTTTTCAGTGAAAACTTGCACTAAAACGTCTAGGGAGGTGATATTCGTGATCCTTGACTTTCAGGCTATCCAATGATATATAAGAAGGTTGAAAAACATTTTGCTCTAACTTTGCATTATTTCCGCCTTACAAGATCAAGGGAAAATATGGTACAAGACATC